GTGAGTGGTCGACACGTGGCGCTGGGTTGGCTCGTGGCTTCTTGGCTCGGCTCGCGGCTTCTCGGCTCAGCTCGACTAGCTGATGGGCTTTGGGTCGAATTGGGCTTTTCTTGGGCTCAACTTTTGGGTTTTGCTTGGTAAACTAGCCCAAATCCAATTGTTTTCTTCAAAAACCTGAAAAATAAAATAAATCTAATTAAAATTAAATCCTCTAAATTTAGGAATATTTGAAATTAAAATCACAAAAATTGATAAAATAGTTTGACAATTATGAACATTAAAAGTGCAAATTCGTGCACTTATCAACTAGCGCTATTCATAGCTTTGTAAATACGCTATATAAATCGAGAGTGCAACTCTAGGCTTTTAGTGGAGTAGCGCTAGAGTTTTATAATCATGAGACGGACTTGTTGGTTTACAAGTAGCGTTGTGATTATAGGAGCTTGATTTATATATGTCCATCGGGTCCCTTTGCTAGCTCACATAATTTCTTGTAATGATACGGTGTATTTCTTACATAGTGGTAACTTGTGTTATTTCCGTAAAAGAGGTTCAAAGTTAATATGAGATTGGTTAATTAATTCATGAGTGATTTATTAGGTGAATTACTTGTTAGATTAATTCGAGATAAATTGGTTGAGTTATTGTTTTAAGAGTTGTTTAATATGGGAAGACTATTATATGACTGTTTTGATCAGGCAATTTCTTTATTGGGTTGCTTGAATATAAACTGAGGCTCTGTGCAAGTTTTCCGTGTTAAAGAACTAAGAAAACAACTTTTGCCAGTGCAGACATGTCGACCGGTTAGGACGACCGGTTCATGAAGGACAAGTCGACCGGTGAGTTATAACGTCTCTGTCACCGGTCGACCGGTTGTAACGCGTAGCACGTGCTGATGTGGCGAAACTGACTCTGTAAGTGAGATAAACTTTGGGAAACCTAATTGTTACGGAAGTATGACTTCCTAAACACTATAAATAGCTCATTAAGTCACATTATTCATTAGATCACTTGATAGACTTTTTGGGGGCTATTGACAAAAGATTCCTGAGAGAAAAAATTATTTAATTCTCAAGAACGATTTTTTCTTTGGCTCTCTTGTGGTTGGAAGGAGTTCAAGAATACCAAGGGGAGATTGAATGACGTGTGCCCACCCGCACTCCGATCGTGGAAACGAGAATAACAAAGAAGACCAGTTGGTTGAGGCTCTTCCTGTCGCTATTTGGAACGCTTTGATCAGTCAGACGTTCACTTTCCTAAATCTCAAAAGGTATGATTTAGATCTTTAGTATTTATGTTATATAGCATCATGAACATGTTCTTGATTGGCTTTGGCATTGATTTAAATTTTTTAAAATTCCGCTGCGTACTCGAGGCCGTATTTTTCCAACAAGATAGAAATGAAAAAATGTCATCGGGAGAAAATGCAAACAAACCAAGTTGTCAACCACTCTTTTCAGGGAAACATGCACATGGGGGAAAAAGTAATTAGCACTATTTGCCCTAAAATTTAAGTAGCTAATTTGTCTTTAATCTTTTATGAGACGTTTAGTTCATGGGTTCAGAATCATGATTTATGATTTATGAAATTTGAATTTTTTTGTGAGAGAAAAACAGTGTAGATAATCAAGATCCATGATTCAGAACCAGAGACAAACCCTTGAAACAAACATCCCATTAATGTTAGCTATTTTATTCCCGATCTCTTAATCTAGTCCAGTTAAAAATGTTTGTTTATCATCCCTAAAGAAAAGGAAAAAAAAAAACCTAAAATCCCAAGGAAAGAAAAAAAAGGTGCACACCTCAATGACTGTCGTTCCTAAAAAGAAAAATACAAACTTTATGTGCATTATCGTTACTAGGGTAGCAATATGTGTTAACAGGTCGTGTTTGTATCAACCCGTTTATTAATCGTCTCAAAAAACATCAACTCAAACATGACATGTTTATTAAACGTGTTAAAAATATCAATCCAAACACGACCCATTTATTAATCGTGTTAATCGTGTCAACCGGTATAACCCGTTTAAATTAATATATTGAATAAATAACTAATATAATAATGACTTATTTAACACCGTCAAGACGATATTTAACATGTTTATTGGTTAGTTTTTCTTTTCCTTTAAGGAAAATAAATGAATTTTATCTACAAATATTAAATTTTACATTATTTGTATTTAATATGTCATATAAATTTTCATGTTATATCACATATCATTAGATTACAGAGGACACGTATAGTTAATCGTGTCAATTTGTGTTAGAAGTCAACCCTAACCCAACCCATTTATTAATCGTGTTGATCGTGTCAGCCTGATTATGACCCAAACTCATTTATAGTAAACCCAAATCTATTAATTTTGTGCGGGTTTCGAATCGTATCGTCGTGTCGCTACCCGAATTGTCAGCCTTAAGTGCGTCACGAGACTGGTAAGGCCCTAGTCACATCACAAGCTCTCGTTTGCAAAAACCCCTTCGCCAATAGTCCAAGCTCTCTTTCCAGTCAGCGTCTTGAGTTGACCACTGACACTGTTGCCACTTGCTTGCGTGCCCTACCCTCCCTATTTTCCTATCTCAGTATGAGTAGGGCTGGCAATTCGTGTTTACGTGTCGTGCTCAGGCCAACACAATTATGGCACGACACGATTATAGTAAACACGAACACGACACGATTAATGAACGTGTCAGAAACCCAAACACGAACACAAAGCGCTAATAACACGGTTAACACGACACGACACGCGAACACGATCACTAAACGGGGCGTGACGGGTTGACACGAAAAAACACATTTATGACCCAACTAACAAAAAGTGTAATTTTATATTGTATTCAGAACTAATATTAATTGACTACTTAATATCACTTATACTTAAAATCTGGCGAGCATATAATAAGAAAAACATAAACCCTCCAATTCTCCATAATAGCCAACACACATAAAAATATCTAAATATCAAACACACACACATATATGATACTACTAGATTATCATATATATATATATATATATTTCAAAACACGACCAATTGCCAAACATTTAAAGAAGTTTAAAAACATAACTAAGTGCATCTAAATAAGTTTAAAAACACAATCAAACATTTGAATGTTTAAGTGCATAAAACATTAAATAAATATATCAAAATGTCTTCTTTGAGGTTGAATGCCCAATTACGCTTTAAAATTAATTTTCAGTTGCTTTAACCTATTAATTGATGTCTTTTTATCAATGTCATAAGGTTGAATGTCTTTTTTAATTTTTTATAAATTTTTTATTTTTGTATATAGGTTATAAACGAGTGGGCCGTGCCGTGTTGGCCTGTATAACTAAATGAGTTAAGCGTGTTAAACAAGCTAGCACGAATTGAGCCAATTTATTTTCGTGTTATTCGTGTCAACCCGTTAACAACCTAATTAATAATTATGCGGTTAAATCTATTTATCTCGTGTTATTTTTATATTGTTACATGGTATTGTGTTTAAAATTACCGGCATTAAGTACAAGCCCCGAGCCCACCCTTGTGACCTCATCCTCTTACCCTTCTTCTTCCCATCCTTCCAGAGACTTCACAGGTTTTTATTTCCTATTTTAATGTTTTTCCTAAATATTCAATTCTAAGAAAAAAAAAACTAGTCAATTTTCCTAATTGCCCTTGAATAGTTACAAATGTGCAATGCACATGCACTTTCACATTGAAAAGGACGTTCTTAATTGGACACAGTTAAGAGTCCAGGGGGTGTATTTGTCAGAAAGGAAAAGTTAGGGGACCCATTTGCTAGTTACTTAAACGTTTGTGGGGCCTCCCAATAACACTAACTACGAACTCCTCCGACACAAAAAAAAAAAAAAAGGAAAAAACAGTACTTGTGTGGAAAATCCCATTTTCTCCTTTTCCGTGTTCGTTAACGTTTTTCCCTCGCATCAAATCAAAAACATTGCAGCACAAACCAGAGAAGAAATTTCCGACACTTACAAAACAGTTTTCATTCATCAAAACGAAAAAGGACCAAAAAAAAAAGAATAAATCACAACAGATGCAAAGCTCATAAGTACACCAAAAAGCAGCCACATTAACAAAAGAAAGATTCTCTCTCCTCCCTCTCCAGTCTCCACAATGCTCTCTCTCTCACCTCTCCATCTCTCTCCTCCCAAACTTTCTTCTCTCCCGCGCACCTTCTCTCTCCAACCTTTCTCTCTCTCCTGCCCCACTCCGCCCTCCTCACTCCGCCGTCTCCGCCGCCGCCTCGAAATCCGAGCAATCGACGCCGCGCAGCTCTACGACTACGAGTCCAAGCTCGCAGCCGATTTTCAATCCTCCACCAAACTTAAGATCGCCATTGTCGGATTCGGCAACTTCGGCCAATTCCTCGCCAGAACCTTCGTCCAACAAGGCCACACAGTCCTTGCCCACTCCCGGTCGGACCATTCCCGAATCGCCGAAACCTTAGGCGTTTCATTCTTCTCCGACGCCGACGACCTCTGCGAAGAACACCCCGAGGTAATCCTCCTCTGCACCTCGATAATCTCCACGGAAAATGTGCTCAAATCCCTACCTTTGCCGCGATTGAGACGAAGCACATTGATCGTCGATGTTCTATCGGTGAAAGAATTTCCAAAAAATTTGCTTCTCAATCTTTTGCCTAATGATTTTGACCTAATTTGTACGCACCCAATGTTCGGGCCCGAGAGTGCTCGGAATGGATGGAATGGACTTTTCTTTGTGTACGATAAAGTTAGGATTGGGGCAGAGGAATCTAGGGTTTTGAGGTGCGAGAGCTTTTTGGGGATATTTGAGAAAGAAGGATGTGAAATGGTGGAGATGAGCTGTGCTGAGCATGATAGATTCGCTGCCGAGTCTCAGTTCATCACTCACACTGTTGGGAGGGTTTTGGAGGGGTTGAAGTTGGAATCAACGCCGATTAACACAAAAGGGTATGAGACACTGTTGAATTTGGTAGAAAATACTGCAGCTGATAGCTTTGATTTGTATTATGGGTTGTTTGTGTATAATAAGAACTCGCTTGTGATGTTGGAGAGGTTGGATTTGGCTTTTGAGGCTTTGAAGAATCTGCTATTTGGGCGTTTGCATGATGTAGTGAGGAAGCAGTTGTTTGGGGGTCAAGAAAGATTGCAGATTTCAAGGGAGGAGTACAAACATTCTTCTAATGGAGCTGCTTTGCCATCTTCTTCAGAAGCTACGAGGTAAAAGTCACTTTCCAGTCCTTTGGCTTTATTTTATATTATGCGTAAAATAATTTTCTTCTATGTGGAGTTTTCAGGTTTTGGTGTTTCTAGTTTGGTGGAGTTTTCTGGTTGCTAACCCAAAGAGAAACAATAATAATATTGATAAATTCTCTTTTTGTTGCTAGTAAATCAGTGTCAAATTGTATTCTACTACATCATGAACTGGGATGGTGTCTTCTCTCTCTACTTAAGCATTTTGTGTGCTTGATGGCCTGAATTTATGGAGGATTGAGATAAAAGAAATGGATAGTGCAGAATTGCTCTTGTTTTTGGTTTGCTATTTTTAAATTAATTTTGATAATGTTCATTGTAACTCCAGGTCTCAGAATGTCGTTGTAGCAATTGACAATAAACTACAGATTTTCAAACGCTTTGACAATGGCTCAAAGCTGAAGATTGCAATTATTGGATTTGGAAATTTTGGACAATTCCTGGCTAAAACCATGGTAGGCCAAGGCCACACAGTTTTGGCCTATTCTCGTTCGGATTATTCAGATGTTGCTCAAAGACTAGGAGTGTCTTACTTCTCTGATGCAGATGATCTTTGCGAAGAGCATCCAGAAGTGATACTTCTTTGTACTTCAATTCTTTCGACTGAGAAAGTTCTCAGGTCATTGCCACTTCAAAGATTGAAAAGGAGCACTCTGTTTGTTGATGTGCTTTCGGTGAAAGAGTTCCCGAGAAATTTGTTTCTCCAAAATTTACCACAAGATTTTGATATCCTCTGCACGCATCCTATGTTTGGACCAGAGAGTGGTAGAAATGGGTGGAACTCCCTAACTTTTGTTTATGACAAGGTTAGGATTGGAAGCGAGGAATCAAGAATTTCACGGTGTGAGATATTTCTTGAAATATTTGCACGAGAAGGGTGCCAAATGGTGGAAATGACTTGTGCAGAACACGATAAGCATGCAGCAGGGTCGCAGTTCATTACACATACTATGGGAAGGATTCTTGAAAAGTTGGGTTTGGAGTCAACACCAATAAACACGAAAGGTTACGAAACGTTGTTGAGGTTGGTGGAGAACACAGCAGGAGACAGCTTTGCTCTTTACTATGGCTTGTTCATGTATAATGTAAATGCAATGGAGCAGCTAGAGAGGTTAGACCTGGCTTTTGAATCGTTGAAGAAACAACTTTTTGGGCGTTTGCATGGGGTTCTTCGAAAGCAATTGTTTGAGAATGCTGATGAGTCCCAAGTTTTTCTGGTAAAACCCATGTTAATGCTGTCTGAAAATCGTACCACACTAGGATCTTCTTCTGAGGCCTTGAACATTCAAAAGAATTAGCTCAAGCTTCCCTCACTGTTGGTGAGTTAAAAAGGAAAACTATTTCCTTATCTCTTTTGCATTCCGTTTTTTTTTTTTTTTTTTTGGAGCATCACAAGTGTTTGGATCACTATTTGACTTACTGGGATGTAATCCTTTTTGCACATTTGCTATGTGATAACTTTTGATGGATCTTTTATTATGCGTATTTCTCTTTGTGCAAATTAACTTCAATTGCATTTTTTATTATTTTTTTCCTTGAAGGGCTTGCTGTGGAGTTCAAGTGTTGTCCTCACTTGGTCACTCTATCTAAACAGATTCGGTGCTAAAAGAAAGAAGTATTGATTTTGGGTAAACTCTTTCCTTACTCCTTGAATTCATCAACACCATTAAGAAACAACGAGATGCAGGAAATTGTTGAATTCACTTGTGCAACAACGCATATAGGAGCAAGAGGTTTCAAATTAAGTTGAAATCTATCTAAGAACCTAAAAAGACTAGTAGCAAGGGATGATGCAATTGATGGAACTTCGAAAAGACAGGATGAATATGCTAGAGGTTTGTGAAGGTACATGTATGTTAAGAAATCCCTTGATAGTTTAAGGCAAAAAGCCCTTCATTGGCCTATTTTTGATGAGTTTAAGTTGCTGGGAGAATTTTTTGGTCATTCCTCCTTTGCGATTCTGACTTTTTGTTTGTTGCATCTTTTTTAAGAATAGAAACTTGGGGCTTCGTTGTTACGTTCTCGAGTTACGGATCGGGTTACTGGACGATTCACGGGAAAATCCACTGCGATTGATGGAGCCCTTCCCTTGTTGCGATTCCTGCCGCGAGAAGAACCTATGGTGAATAATATTTGGAACTCGTCGAAGGGAGCTCCTAACCTTAGACTCGTTGGGAAGAGAGTGTTAAACCTCTGTAATTAGAACAAAATTCTTCTTTGTTTTATTACTCCAAATTCGTCCCCCTTAAATAGAGGTTACATAGGAAATTACTCTTATAGAAAATAGGAAACTAGAAAGTAGGAAATAGGAAACTAGAAAAAAGGAAATAGGAAGCTAGAAAATAGGAAATTACTCCTATAGAAAATAGGAAACTAGAATACTTGCTAAAAATGGACTCCTAATTAGGATACTACTAAAAATAAGATTATTCTTCGGCTTCTTTCCCATTCTTAGCGCTCCTGACTTCCTTCTTCCTTGACTTGTGTACCACGTCTCCCATATGCCTTGCCCACAAAGGCATCCGTAACATTACTCTCCTCCTAAAGAAAGAGCTTGTCCGCAAGCTCGAAAGTTGGATAAGTAGCGCAAAAATGAGCAAGATCTTCCCAGGTAGCATCCACTGGAGTGAAGCCAGCCCAATGAACTAAGATTTTCCAATTGCCATGATTGAGGTGCGAGCGAATAACGGTACTAGGAACAGAAATGATTCGTCCATCCTCCAGAGGCGGTAGAGGAGATGGAACAGCTAGAGCTTCCCCTTGAAAGGCCTTGAGCAAGGAAACATGAAAGACATCATGGATTTTACTATCAGAGGGTAACTACAATTGATATGCAACCGGCCCGACCTTGCGCAACACTCTAAAAGGCCCATAAAACTTGGGAGCAAGCTTATGATGAAGCGTCCTTGACAGTGACTTTTGCCAATGCAGATGTAAACGTAACCAAACAAGTGAGCCAAGAGCATATTCCACGTTGCCATGACCTTTATCATAATACTCCATGCGGTGCTGAGCCTGTTGAAGTCCAGAGCGAATGTCCTGCAAAGTCGAATCCCGGTCAAGCGAGGCCTGATCTACCGCGTCAACTCTAGAAGAGCCAGCCACATAGGATAATAAACGGGGCGGATCCCGTCCATAGACAACCTTGAAAGGAGATGTGTGAAGAGCAGTATGAAAGGACGTGTTATAACATTAATCAGCCCAAGGGATCCAATCCACCCACCTCTTAGGCCGATCACCCACAAAACAACGTAAGTACATTTCAATTGTTCGATATACCACCTCCGTTTGGCCATCAGTTTGAGGATGATTGGCTGAAAGAAAAAGCCAATTTTGTCCCACACAATCGAAAAAGCTCCTAAAAATTACTTGTGAAGACAACATCCCGATCTATAGGTAAACCGTGCAATCGTACCACCTGCTCAAAGAAGGCGTTGGCCACACTAGTAGCCGTATACGGATGTGCCATGGGTAGGAACTTGGCATATTTTGAAAACCGGTCAACCACCACAAATAAGACTGTTTTGCCCCATGATTTTGGCAGTCCGTCAATGAAATCCATCGAAATGTCAGCCCAAACTTGTGTAGGAAGTTGGAGGGGCTGAAGTACTTGTGGGGCTCAAATGCTCAGCCTTGTTGAGCTGGCACACAAGACAAGCTGCCACATAATCACCAATTGCCGACTTCATACCCTACCAATAAAAATCCTTGCGCACCCTTTGTAAAGTTTTCTGGAGACCTTCATGTGTACTATCATGGAAACCTAACAATATAGAAGAAATTAAGGGAGAGGTTGGTGATAAATAAATTCGGCCGTTATTGAGAATGAGCCCATCATGCAGTGACCAAGATTCACTGAATTCCCCACGTTCCACTTGAGCTTGCAGCTCTTGGAGAGAGATATTCTCCTGAATTTCGGCCCTTATATCATCCAACAATAACACCCGAGGTTGGGTAATGGCGCACAACAGGCCCTCATCATCCTCTAGACGCGATAACGCGTCCGCAACTCCGTTTAGATACCCCGCCTTGTACTCCACACGAAAATCAAACCCCATGAGCTTGCTTATCCAATGTTGTTGCGGAGAAGAGTTGTGAGTCACTGTTCCAGCAAATACTTAAAGCTATAGTGGTCAGTGCGAATAAGGAAAGGTCTACCCCACAAGTAAGGGTGCCAATGCTGCACTGCCTTTGCCAACCCAATCAGTTCTCCCTCACAGGCGGGAAGTTTGAAGTGTCTAGCGGCTATTTTGCGGCTGAAAAAAGCAATGGGATGCCCATGTTGTTGGAGGACAACACCAATACCGCTTCCGGAGGCATCACATTCCGTGACAAACTCATCAAAATTAGGTAGCTGCCAAACTAGGGCAGCAGCAAGGGCTTTTTTAAGCGCATTAAAGCCAATGCCTCATCAGTCCATTGGAAGGAATTTTGTTTGAGCATACTAGTCAAAGGAGCTACAATTTGACCATATTCCCAAATGAACTTGCGATAGTAACCCGCCAATCTCAAGAATCCTTGTAGAGCAGTAATGGATTGCGGTTGAGGCTAATCGGTAACTGCCTGAATCTTGCTTGTATCCATTGAAACCCCTGCACCAGACACAACATGACCGATATATGCTACTTGGGGTTCCCTAAAGGAGCATTTGGATTTCTTCAAACAAAGATGGTGAGCACGCAGCAATTCAAATACCACTTTAACGCGGAGCAAATGATCATCCCATGTAAGTCTTACTATAAATCAAAATATCATCAAAGAAGACAAGGACAAACTGGCGCAAGTGTTTTTGGAATACCTCATTCATAAGGGCCTGAAAGGTTGACGGTGCATTGGTCAGCCCAAACGGCATCACTAGGAACTCAAAGTGGCCGTGGTGGGTTAGAAAGGCTGTTTTCTCAATGTTGGCTGGGTCCATGCAGACTTGATGGTATCCTGATCAAAGATCTAGTTTGGTGAAGTACTTGGACCCATGTAGTTTGTCTAACAGCTCCTCCACTGGTATTGGAAATTTATCCTTGACTGTTTTAGCATTAAGCTCCCTGTAATCAACACAAAAGCGCCATGTACCGTTGTGCTTACAAACTAGCAACACCGGTGAAGAAAAGGGTGACTTGCTAGGCCGAATAATTCCTTACTGGAGCATTTGTTCACACTGCTTCTCTATCTCATCTTTTTGTAGGTGTGGATATCTATAGGGACGAATGACCACGGGAGCAGAATTTGGCTGTAAACAGATGCGGTGATCACAATTCCGAAGAGGAGGTAGCCCGGATGGCTCTTGAAATAAATCACTAAACTCATCCAATAATTGATCCAATTTGCGGCGCGGTTCCGTTGTTTCCTGCAATAAGTGAACTCGAACGATATTGGAATTTTGATGCCCTTGAAGAGTGATAGCTGTCCCACCTGACACGAAGCTCATAGTGAGACACAAAATCCCAAAGGATCGGCCCCAAGTTTGGAGCCATTTAATCCCTAAAACAATATCAAAGCCATCCAAAGGAATGACAAGGAAGTCAGTAATAAAAGTGTTATTATCAACTTTAAATGGCACCGTTTGGCATATTCCCTCGCTGAAAACCTTTTCTCTGTTAGCCACCGATATATTAAAACCATATTGAGGTTGGACCTTCACTCCGAGGCGTTGGGCTGCTGCCACACTAATGAAATTATGAGTACTCCCTGAATCCACTAACCCCAATACAAGATGTCCCTCCATTATTGCTCGCAATTGCATAGTTCTAGCATTTTGTTGGCCCGTGATCACATGCAAGGATATTTTAGGTTCCTTATTCTTGTCTTGTTCCAGCACATCATCTTTGTGACCCTCTACCTCCAGCCAAAATAATTTTTTGCATTGGTGCCCGAATGAATATGGTTCGTCACAATTGTAGCAGAGACCTTTAGCTCTTTCGTCTGCCATCTCCCCACGAGTCAACTTTTTAATAAAAGGAGGGGTTGCACTACTTGGACTTGATCATGCCACTGTCACCCTGCCTAGCCCGAAATTGCTTTTAGCAGCGGAAAAGGGAACTGGTGCTTCTATGTGAGCTTTTAGTGTTCGAGCCCATGTGTTGCTAAGGTCCTCTATGCATGCCTGCCGCTTTTGCTAGCTGCCGCTTCTTCTCAAAGGCCCGTGCCAAGTAGCCTGGACAAGGTTTGGGGGATTTTACATCTCCACATCAAGCCTAATTGAGTCCGTTAATCCTACAGTAAACAAGTCTACATGCTGGTCCACCCGTACTGTATTAGTGCGTGCCAACAACTTTTGGAATCGGCGTTGATAATGCTTCACCGTTCCTGTCTGTTTCAAATTAACCAATTCTCCTAAAGGGTTATAGTGTAGTGGTGGTCCAAATCTCAAAGTGCAGTATTCCTTGAATGCCCCCCACGTGATATTTGGTTCATCCTACTCCATTTGATAATACCATAATTGCGCCTCACCCAACATGTGAAAAGCCGCCAATCCAACCTTGTCTAATTCCGCTGTCTGTTGATTGGAAAAGAACTTCTCACATCTGTGTAACCATATTAACGGGTCCTCTGACCCATCAAAGGTAAAAAAATCAAGCTTTGTGTACCGCGGCACCACTCCCGTCCCTGCCTGTGATTCTGATAGATTGTCTGTTCTGTAGTGGTGGTTCCCATAACGGTTACTGCTGCTCGTACCTCCATCGGACTCCTTGCTGCGGTTTCGGTTGGAACTCATAAGAAGTTCCTGCAGTTGTAGCGACAATTATTGCAACTGATTTCCCAATTGAGATTCGGTTTGTGCGACTCTTGCTTCCATTCAGGACTCAGCTTCTACCATTCTTGGTTCGTTGATTTCCTGCATCTCCTGTAGCAGTGCCCTCAACTCGCCCTCTGTGTTGGAATTGCCCATAGTGTTTGGCTCTGATACCAAGTTGTTACGTTCTCGAGTTACGGATTGGGTCATTGGACGATTCACGGGAAAATCCACTGCGATTGATGGAGTCATTCCCTTGTTGCAATTC